TTTTGGTGCTTAACTGGAGATGAGATTCATGGATTTTCCTGCCTGAGCTGGCTTCAAACCCCAATCCTTAGATCTCAACCTCCTGAATATTTAGGATTACAGAAGTGAGCCACCAATACCTGGTCTATTCACTTTTTTTTTAAATTGTGAACATACCGTACAGAGGGGTTACAATTACATGAGCAAGGTAACGAGTACATTTCTAATCAAGCATTGTTGCCTCCTCCTTTGTTTCCCCTTCCCATCCATTCCCATCTCCCCCCCTCCCCCCGTCACCCCCACCCCCCTCTGCGTGCCAAAACTGTAAAGTTAGTTTTTCGACATAACGTCTTGTACATCTCATTGTTGCAATGGCTCTACCTCCATCCCTATTTAAACAATTTGTTTTTTCCCTTCCCCTCCCCAAATTATGCCAATATCAAATACAGTGAAAATCTATTCACTTTTAAGCTTCACATCCTGTTTAGTGTATTTGTAGGATGCAAGAAAACAGTTGTTGGTGAAAGGCTAAGATATGAGAGAAAACCTAGGACTTGACATTGGAGGCACCAGGTGGAAGGCAATGGCTTTTGGGTCAACCTTGAGCAGATGCACTGCATCCAATGATGCTGAGAAGCAGGGGGGTAGAGGTAGAAATTAATGCTAGTTGGAGGTGAGGGGCTGGGGATGTTACACTTTCCAGCTTTATTTTCCTTTCTTATGTAGGACAGAATGATGTCCTTTAGGGAATGTTGTGAGACAAACACAAGGCCTACCAGTGTTGTCCTAGGTGTAGGAGTAGTAACTAAGGACACTGAGATGAGCTAATACCACCTCTGCCAGCACTTGCCTCAGTTTGCAGCATACATGCACAACGGCAAGGTCACCTCCATGTCTTCCCTTCCCCCAAGGGAGGAGCCCCAATGGCCAGAGTATTTGTTATTAGTTTCCAATATGGTAATGAAGTTATGGGGCGGGGAGGGGGGAGGAGGGGAGATTTGAGATGAGAAGCCCTCCTCAATGGCCAGGTTATGGTTTGTTCACTGACATCTACAAGAAATCCTTGAGAATCTTGCAGTAGTCTTGGATAAGCCCAAGCCAGATCACCAGTCTGATAATATGAAAGACAACCACTTACTCTCCTCACAAAGTGGCTCTACTCAGGAGGTCCTGCCATGTCGGTTTTATTTAGTGGCCCAGCGTTGTCATATTTTTTTTCAAGGGCTGACTTTCACTGGTCTGAATTATGGTCTTTCAAGTATACTCAAGTCCACTTGTCTCCAAGATTTCATCTGAATGTTTCCTTAGATGAATTGTGATCACCTCAGACTCAGGGCTCTACAAGAAGTCTGAAGGTGAAGTATGACCTTCCCCTTTTCCACTTGACATCTGTTATGGTCTGCATGTTTGGGCTTCTCCCTCTCAACCCTTTCTCTTCTCACAAGAAATGAACTGAGATGAGAGACCCTCTTTGCTGTCCTGGTTGTGCATTTTTTCACTGACAGCAAAAGGAAGCCCGAACTTGCAATGTGATATATTAGGAGGTAGGGGCTTTGGGAGGGACATGAGGACAGCACCCTCACGAGGAATTCTAGTCCCTTTAGGGAGATTTGATTCTGTCTTTATGCTTTTGAGGACAAGCTATGTAAGGACACAAGAAACTGGCTAATTTGTAAGCCATGAAGAGTCCTCATGAGAAAATAAACAGCACCTTGATCTTGGTCCTCTCTCTTGGAACTGTCAGAAATAAATTCTTATTGTAGAAAGCACCCAGCCTGTGGTATTTGATTATGGCAGCTCAGACTAAGACCACATCGCAAAGTTAACAGGAAAACCAAAACAATGAAAAATAAGGTCACATATTTCTCCACAAATAATCTTCCTACTAGCCAAGATTCTGCTTGGATTTTTTTTTTTAGTTTCTTAAAATGTTTATTTCTGTTAGAACAGCTGACAATTTTCTATTAAGTATTTTGGTCTGTTATTATAGTAAGCATCCCCCCTTTTAAAAATCCAGTCAAGAGATCCCAATCCTTGAGGTAAAGAACTTGAATGAAACAGAGAGAGAAAAAGAGAGAGAGAGAGATCCTGATTTTTTAAAGGCAAAATATTCTTAAAATTCCTTTAGCTTGATAAATAGAAATAATCTCTTCTTGTTCTACTCTGGTGAATATAAATGTATGTTACAGAGCAAAGTTTTCCATCACTTATTGGCAAAACAAAGGTGAGACATTCACTTACACGTCCTATTCACAGTGCCATACTGTCATGTCTATACAGACACTTTTGTTTTTAGTTATCAATACTCTGGCGACAAAAACTAAGTTTTGGAATGGCAAAAGCAGAAGAAGTTCTAGATGTCAAAGCGCCAGCAGGGAATTAATCTGAGTCTTCATCATCAAGGTAGTCCTCGGCATTGCTTCATGTTGGAACTGCATCTGTTCCCTGCTTCTTTTTCTGGAGAGACGCACAGGCCGCATTCGTGGCCATGTCCAGGGCCAGCTTCTTCTCATTGTTCCTCAAGTCTGTCCTGGCACCTTTTGCCAGAAGCAACTGGACAATGTCGTCATAGCCCTTCCAGGCGGCAGCATGCAAAGCCGTGTCCCCCAGCTTGTTCTGCTGGTTCAGTTCAAGATCGGACTGAGTAAACAGAACTTCCACCACATCTTTGTGACCCCCGTGGCAAGCCCAGTCCAAGGCTGTGCTCCCAGCTTTGTCTACGCCGTTCACGCCCACTCGGTTGTCCAAGCACTCTCTCAGCCAGCTCAGGTTGCCTCTTTTTGCAGCTTCATGCAGTGGATTGTCAATGGATTCTGCCTGCTCAGCCACGTACTTGCTTGGAATGAGTCCCGTCCTGCCTTTGCAGGTCCCTTTCCACCAATTGGTATCACTCATGTCAGTAATGTAGATAATATCACCTTCTTCAAAGTACAATTCATCTGGAGTTCTGGGTTCAAAGGTATACAGAGCCCTGAAGACTTTAACTTGTCCTGGTTTGACTGGTTTGGGAGGCGGCTTCGACATCGCGCTTCCTGGAGGCCGCGCACCGGGGAAATAGAGATTAGAAAGGATCGCCCCTCTCTGGAAGCTGGAGCCCCTGCGGCTCCCCCAGATCGCTCCTTCTCCGGTGCTGGCCGGGCGCCTCCCTGACCCGCGCCCTCTCACGGCCAAGCAGTGCGGACGCAGGCCGAGCGGCTCCGCCCAGGGCCCGGCCCCGCCCAGGGCCTCTGCTTGGATTTTGAGCAACGTGGTAGCCAGGATTTGGGAGGATGCATCATGAACAAATGTTCGGTCCTGGGGTTGAGCTTGCTTCTGCCAAATGCCACACCCCTACCCGCCCCCCCCCCCCCCCCAACCAATCCCGTCAGCCTGGCTTAGGTGGGTGCTGGGTTCTCCATTATGGCTTCATTAGACTATATCCTAATGTTGACCATGCAGACTAACTACATGCTGAGAACATTTGCTCCCCAGGATAATTAAACACCTTGTTATTTATTATATTACCTTCTAGAAATTTACATGTGGTCTCTTCTCATAGGCACTCTGCTTCAAGTAAATCTGTTTAGAACATTTTATGGGTTTTTATAAAACCACAATTGAATTTCAAGCCTTTGGAGTAGCCCAGCTGAGATGCACTCCAATTAGAAATAATTGTGGTTAATGTTGTTATGATGTGCTGATGCTATGCAACCCCCCCTCCTGACCTTTGTTCTGCTAAATCCCCTGAGTCTCTTCTTTATTCTTCAACTAAATAGACAGCTCCCAGAATGCATGCTCTTAGAACTGTAATAAAGGAGTAATATTGTGCCTCTCTCTTAATTAACCTTGTTAACCAAGGATTTGGGGACTTCATTTGGGTAGTCTAAAAGAACCTTTGATCTTGGTATACATCTACCAAGATGCTCCTGGGAAATGAAATGCCTTGTGTTCTTTGGCATACACCAAATTCTTTTTCATTCTGATTCATGACACGATACCTTTGTTTGATGGAATAACATTTGTGTAGCGTTTATCATGGTGCTGAACAGAGTAAACAGTTACCATCATTAGCATTATAAGACAAATTTTAAGGCTGAGTGGAAACAGAGGAACAGGAGTTATACAGTCTGTCCCCGGTGTATTCCAGATCCCATACTGGTAGAGACCATTATTTCTAAACATCTTAACTTCAACACATCAGAATCCTGATTCTTTTGGAGCTCAGTGTCTTCCAAGGCCTCTCATCCCAATCTGTTCCCAATAAAAGGGCCAGGGACAAACAGACTGCTGTTTTTCTAACTGGGCAAGTGCCCCCACCAGCCTGGGAAGGAGTTCCAGGGATATGGTAATTAATGTATTTTTCTTAATCTTGCTTTTATAGTTAATCTCCAAAGCATGAAAGCAGTTTGCCAGTTGATTAAACTATAAGAACACACTTGCTCAGAGGTGAGGGCAGCCCTCATGAATACAGATGTGTGAAATTGTTCATGCTGTGGAAAAATATCTCTACACGAAGTCCAACTGGAGCTATTAAGTTCAATACTGACAATTAGCCAACATGAAAGATTTAAAAAAATAAATCTCCATAGAAGTTCATTTTCAGAGTAAGAAGCAACCATTCTTTGACTTCTCAGCAAACAATGTGATCCCATCTGAGATCAGTATAGAATCATTGCCAAGCAAGGTTCCCTGAGACAAAGGTGCCTGATTGGGCTTCAGCAAGTGCCAACTGGCACATGCTCTGAGTATCAAGGGTAAGGAGTAGTAAGCCTGTATGAAGCTGCTCTGGAAAGAAAAGCACAGAGGACGGCCCTTTATAACACCTATGACCCTGGTCCAAAGTTACCAAAGCTGCGAGATGGCAATGGACTCCAGAGCTCTTCTGGCAGGAATGTCCTCCCTCCAGAAAGGCAAACTGTGCATCCTCTCCCCATGCAGGCTTACCCACAACCTTTCTATGGGGATAACCCTCCCAACAGCCAAAGCCTAAGGCAGCTCATACAAGAAGCCCATTTTTCTCTCATATCTGTTGCAAATGGAAATGACAAAAGGGGGCTATCTTTATTATTATTTAAAAAAACAACCAAAAATAAAAACAAAACTCAATCAAAAAAGGAGATAATAGTATTATTTTTGAAGGTTATCGGTTGCAAACTCTAGTCCAGGTAGCAGAATACAACTAGTATTCATCTTCAGATATATTCTACCACAGGATATAATGACTTTTCTTCTTTGAAGTAAGTATGAAGTGGTGTTGGATCTCAGATGATATCAGCCATATAACTGGTCTCTAGACTTTCTTTTTCCCAGTGAAGCCATCCATTGCTTGGAAGATGCCCAAATAGTCACCTATAAGCAGTCCGGTCTTGATGGGTAAGAAACTAGAGAACACAGAATAAACTTTCTTGGTTAACATTCATGAAAGCAACTTTGACAGCTCAGTTGAAAACTGTCACTTCCTGTCACAGACGAAGTCACTTATTCATGCACTCATCATACATTCTCAGGCTACTTCGTGCTTCAGGATCACCAGTCCTGGTCCATGCAAGATGACTATGGGAACCACTTACTCAAGGCCTCTCTAGCTCTTCTGGCTCTATTTAAGTTACTCATTTCAGTTCTCATTTGTTTCTACTCCCTTATCTGTCTGGTGACTAGAAGGAATCTTTAGGCACATGTTTGGAAGTACATGAATCTCTGCTGTAGTCCTGGCTCAGGCAATTTACTTAGCTTGCAGACCTCAGTTTACTCTAACACAGGGGCACCAGAGGTTTACGTGAGCATGAGATACAATAGTTGCTAAGTCTTTTAGCAAGACAAAACCAAGGCAGTTTATCACCTCCATCCCCACTTGGCCCTCTTAAGCCCACAGATACTTGGGACCATTCCTCAGATGGCGCACTCAAATCCTGATGATCTTGACGTCAACTCTTGATAGTGAGGAAAAGGATGATGCAGGAAGGACCAATCTGAGACTTGTGCTATGGATCAGGTAACAAAAGAGGATTTTGTACTCACTATCCATTTTTGTGGACACAACAGGATCACCGGGTGCTTCTAGCGCTCTCCAACATTTGGAATCTGGTCAAGTGTTAACTGCTTCAGTACCACACTTAAATCTCAACTTGCCTTTCTCTGAGCCTTCTGAGATTCCTTGTTCTGGCTTTATTTATTTATTGGTGTGTGCTGGGTCTTAGGGCTTGAACTCAGGGCCTGGGCACTGTCCCTAAGCTTTTTTGCTCAAAACTAATGATCTACCACTTGAGCCACAGCTCTATTTGTGGCTTTTTTGGGGTTAACCGGAGATAAGAGTCTCATGGGCTTTCCTGCCCAGGCTGACTTCAAACCACAATCCACAGATCTCAGCCTCCTGAATAGCTAAGATTGCAGGCGTGAGCTGTTGGCATCTGGCTCTGGCTTGTGTTTCTTCACAGCACTTATAGCCCATTTGTATTTTTTTATCTTTTAATTTTTTTCTGTTTCTTCCTTGCCACTCACCCAACCAAGAATGACAGAGACTGTTGTGTGTCTTGTTCTTTGCTGGAACCTCAGATCCCAGGATAGTGAGTGACAAATGGTACTCTCATGTTTGTTGAATGATTGATGTGATCTTCTTCTCTAAGCCCCTTCCTGATTCCTCTAGCCTTCTCATGTACTATCTATCCTTCTCTCTAATATGGCCTACAATATACTATGAAACAATTACAAGATATTCAATGTACATATGTGAAAATGGAACTAGCAGCTGACTGACAACTTGAGGGGATGGGTAGGGTTGGCAGTGATGGGAGAGGATGACGGAAAGGGTGACACTGATCAAGATGCACTGTACTCATAAACTCACCTATTGGACTGAAATTCCCTTGTGCAACTACTTGGAGATAATAATTCTACTTACAATAAAAGAACATGCCATGAAAATATGTGTAACTTCCACAGTTATTCAGAGTAGAAAAATTAAGCCTCATGTATTCGAGTTGGCTTTGTTATAATACAATCTGCTACTAGGCAAAAAATATCTACTGTGATATGAATATATATATATATACTGTCCAATAAGCAGAGCAGAAACCAAGTTACATACTAACACATACTATCTTTCCATTGTAGAGAGGAAACTGAGGCTCAAGAAACACAGAGGATACTGAGTCAGTGTTTGTAAACAGCAGGATCAGAGCCTTGCACTTAAAACTACAGTCAATGTCTCACAAGGCCTCAGCCAGCCACACAGATGAAACCTGGAAAAAGTATAGGATGTGAATATCTTTTGATTCATTGGGCAAAACAGGTTAACTAGCTAATGAGGAAAGAAACTATCATAGGGCAGTGGCTATTAGCCATATGGTAATCATGAAGTATAATGCCTGTATTCAAATAACTAGAGATCAGTTACTGTCCAGAGGAGTGAAATTATACATGGAGCTGTAGACAAAGGGATCAAACACAGGTAAGTGACCAGTTTCAATTCACCACAGGGCAGTGGACCGACAGTGGAATGTGCTTTTTTGTAAAGGAGAACTTCTATGAGGAAGTGGAAATAGATAACCCTTCATAGTCTACAGTGTGAGCATAGGAACCTGTGGAGCAGTTCAATACTTATCATCCCCAAACTAGGTCAAATGCTCGTAAGTTACAGCTGATGACTTTCCTTACTGATACCCAGAAGAGCCAGCAACAGCATTTCTTACATCCCCCAATTCCTTTATAGTGCTGGAAATCAAACCCAGGACCTTAAGCATGCTTGGAAGTGCTCTGCTATTTGAGCTATAATTCTAGCTTTCTTTTCTTCTTTCTTTCTTTTCCTTCCTTCCTTCCTTTCTTCCTTCCTTCCTTTCTTGATTTTTTTTGGGGTTGTTGATTGGTGATAAGAGTCTCGTGGATTTTCCTGCCCAAGGTGGCTTTGAACCTCAGTCCTCAGATCTTAGCCTCCTGAGTAGCTAGGATGACAGGCTTGAGCCACTGGTGTCCAGCTTCTAGCCCTCTTTCTTTTTTTCTTTTCTTTCTTATTTATTTGTTTTATTTTAATTTTTTGTCCTCTCTTTTTAAGAGGTGGGTTTTTTTTTCTAAATTTTTTTCCTCAAGTTCTCTAATCTTACAAATCAAATTGATTCTCTCCTGCTAACTTTACCTATCTTAAAAGTTTTTGAGGTATCTAGATGATTGGTTCTGACTTTGGGACCTTGCACTGGAAGAAGCATGGATATGGTTTCTATTCCAAATGATGTTTTTCTTTCTTGCTGGTACTGGGGTTTGAACTCGAGATTGTGCTTGCTCAGTTGAGGCTTTGCCACTTGAGTCATACCTCAGCTTGGATCTTTGCTAGTTATTTTGGAGATAGAATACCATCTTCAAAGATTGTCATGGCTGGCCTCAAACCATGATCTTCTGGATCTCAGCCTCCTGTGTAGCTAGGATTACAGGTATGAACTACTGGTGGCTGGCCCAACATGATTGTTTTATGATGGTACAAGAAAAAAAATCTTTAAAAAGTATTTGTAATCTGTCCACAGCTCATTCTGTAACTCCACTTCATTTTGACAATAATGCAATACCTAAATGACAGATGGTGGTCCCCTTTTCCTGGACTGGGGGACCTATTATAGTGCAAATTTGGCACTATGTCAAAGAACAGGTCCAAAGATGGATTCACAGTATCTAAAGAACTTCCTCTCTAAAATTCATTAATTCAACAGATACAAATAATCTGTTAAGTGGAATCTGAAGGAAGCCATCATCTGGCAAATTGGGAAAGTAATAGAAGTAGTTACCTTTTCAAGAACATCAAGAAGTATAAAAACTTTGGCAAATACAAGTACACCTTTTCCTGCAGGATAGCTTCCACTATTTTTTGTACTGCGTATTCAGGTTCCAGAATTGGTAACAGAGTAGGACACCTAAAGTATTAATAAAAAAAACTAAATTTAATAAAAAAATAATTCTTTCAAGTAAGGGATTAAAGGTTTTAAGACATCACATTCCTTTTTCTTTCACAGCTGATCTATTTCTAGGTTTTTACTCATGACTGGTGTGGTAACAAGCATAACTAAAATCTGAAGTGGAAAATGACGATTCTAATTAGTATACTGATGTTACAAGTAAATGTCTATGTAAAATCACAGTGAACAAATGGTCAAAATGTTGTAAAGCAAGACACTGAAAGCAAATTTTCTGCTTTTCTCCAGGGGGTACAGAACTGGGCATTTGTGCCTGCTAGTGATGGAGGATGTCCCTTGGCCCCCGATGAGATGGTAATAGGAGATGGGGTCTTTGGCAAGTAACTGGGTCATGACAGTATAACATTCATGCATGAGATTAGTGTCCTTAGCAGAAGAGCCATGAGAGAAAGAGATAATGTCTCTCTCTTCCCCCACCTTTCCTGTTTGCTAAGTGAGGAAACAGTAATGAGAAGATGGCTTCCACCAGACACTGGATATAGGACTGACTCTCAGTCTCCAGAACTGAGTAAGACAAGCCTCCTGTTCCAGCCACAGAGTGTATGGTATTGTGGCATAGAAGCCTGAATTAAATTTTTCTTCAATGATTGTTCAATCTTCTTGGGACCACCATGAATGGCAGAGAGAAGCGGTAGCCAGACAGTCTGGGAGACAAACAAGCAGATGTGGAACTACAGAGTGGCTACTAGCTAGACTTGGCTTGATAAATCATTTGCATTCAACTCACCATCGTAAACACAAACATGCAGAATAAAAAGTTTGAAACCATTTATAAATCAAGCTCAATTGGATAAAATATCTTCTAAACAACTCTTAAAAAGAGAACAATAGCCAGTCATTTTTTTATTTCTTTGAAATAAAAAGGATACTTACCCAGTTGTACAACCTTCAAACATTCCAGTTTTTATAAAAAATGGACATATGATTGTGGTTTTGATGCCCCTGTAATTTTGGACATACATTTCTAGAAGCACAGATTCAGCAAATCCAAGGGCTGCAAATTTACTTGCACAATAATCTGAAAGAGACAAACAATGCTAACGTATAAAAGTGCACATGACTTTACTGCATTTCACTTCAGATAATGGACTTTTTATAAGCTGAAGATATACAGCAACTTTGCACTAAGTAAGTCTATTGGCTCCTTTTTTCCAACAGCTTAGGTGACTGTCAGCACTGTTTTGTTGGGACAGCATTTTGTGTGTGTGTGTGTGTGTGTATATGTTTATATATATGTGTGTATGTGTATACATATACATACCATATAGTGGGGCTTGAACTCAGGGGTCTAGGCCCTGTCCCTTATCTTTTTTGCTCAAGGCTGACATTCTATCACTTCAGCTACAGTTTCACTTCTGGTTTTTGGTGGATAATTGGAGATTTCAGAAGCTAAGCAAGAGAGTTCAACATGGGTTGTGATCCTCAGATTAAAATTTCTAACTATAATTCTCATAATACTAATGTGAGGAATAAATAACATAATAATTTTGAAAAGGTAAATGATGATTCTAATTATTTAGTGATGTCACACTTTAAGTAATAAACCTTTCAACTTAAAAGTTAATGAGGAAATTAGTGCTGTAAAGTGGAGTTGTTGTGTTAACCTGTTGATGTGCAACTATTTTGCAGGAGAAACTTAGAAAAATTTGTAGAATATGGACAGAGAAAACCTAGGGCTAGTCTTGAACATAATTCTACTTCTACTACACTGTACCACCACACTGGCTTGTTTTTGAGATAGGCTCTTAATAATGTTTGCTAGGGTTGGCCCTGAACTCCTGATCTTCCTTTCTCTGCTTCTCAATCACCTACGACTATAGGCATGATTACTATGCCTGGCTCCACTGGGTGGCCAAGCTAGACTTGCAATTGAGAACAAAAAGCCAGAATGAAAAATTTGAAAACTTGAAGTTTGGCCAGAATAAAAAGGTTTAAAGTGTTTAAAGCAGAAAAGACTGCAGTTGTTAGAGAGATTAGCACCATTAAAAGGAAGCCAAGTACCTTGTACCAGAACAACAGATGCCCTGAGATCTTAGGAATCCTCAAGGCCTTGCTCATACCAGCCTCAAAAACTTGTATTTGAGAAGTGAGCCAGGGTACCCTCTGCTGGCACAGAGCCATCTAGGAAACTGCTCTCTCAGGACTCATTTTGTTGTAATCAGCTGTCTAACCAGTGAGAGGCCACTGCAGCCAAGGTTCAAAGATCCCAGTGCATCTCTTTGCTATTCTCAAGCCAGTAGGTGTCACAAAGGAGATGAAAATGATCCCCCCACCACATTCTGCAGATCTTCCATCAATGGAAAAGCAAAAGGTCAATTTCAGGTTTCTTGGAAGAAGCCTCTAAATTCATAGCAAGGGATACCACTTCAGGACTCTTCTGGAAGAGGAAGAAAAAAAAAAAAAGAATGATTCCCAAATGTGTAATCTGGCTTCCTGTAAATTTATCTGACAGGAAATATGGGTGTCTAACTTACCTTTATTCACTTTTACAATTTTAGGACATCAAATCAATAGTGATTACTCAGCACTATTACTCACAGTTAAGATAACAGGGAAGTTCGTTACCTGCTAGCCCATTTACTCCAACTAATCCAGCTGAACTTGAAATGCATACCAAATGTCCATGGTTTTTAGCAATCATGGCAGGAAGAAAGGCTTTGTAAGTCTAAGGAGAGCAAAGAAAAACATGTAACCTTTAATAGCACATTGTATGATTTTCTCAGATGTTTCTAGGATTATTGTGATTCAAAAAATTGTTGTATTTAGCTCATAAAAATACCTGCAAGTATTGGGATATACAGAATTAAAACATGTCTTAAACATTTTAACATGTTTAATTTGCTAATTTCTTCCCATACAATTTCAGTATTATTAAACAAAATGTATGCAGATTTTAGTTTTTGGCTTTGCTTCCATTTTTCTTTAGAAATGTAATATTCAAAGTAGTATAGGAAAATCTCAGGTGTGGCAAGCACCATCCAAGGAACAATAACAGAAATGTAAGATAAGATAAAGTGTATATTGTTCCTATCTCTCTTCTCCCAATGCCCATTACCTTAATTTTGAATTGTAAAGTTTTTAAAGTTTTCCTGAACACTATTCACAGGACATCTTGTTGATAGCTCTTGTTGAAGAAGAGCACTTTGCTCTAAGCTCATTTCTACTTCTTTAAATAATGTTTTACTATTTTAATTGATAAAATAGAGTGGTTTTTAAAGAAGACAGAATGAAGACTATATCTCAGTCCTGTAGAACACCTTTTTTTTTTTTGGTAGTGGTACTGGGGTATGAATTCAGGGCCTCACTCTTACCTTGGTTTGCTTGGCTGGTACTCTATCATATGAGCCGTAACTCCAGCCTAGCTTTTTGCTGGTTAATTGGAGTCTCTTAGAATTTTCTAAACTGTGATCCTCCTGATCTCAGCTTCCTAAGTAGCTAATATTACAGGTGTGAGCAACTAGTACCTGACTTCACCTTCACTTTTGTTTGAGAACCTGGAGAAAGGAGGTAGAGAGGGCGCGAAGTATTTTAGAGGAGGATGTCTCAGGCATCAAGGAAGTAATTAAGCACATATGTGGACAAAGAGAGTCCACACCTTCTTCAGTTGCCTGCTTTGCATGATTTCAGAGAGAAGTGGAAGATGCAAATGAAAGACAAAAAAACAGCACAGCCTAATGAGGGGCACTTTGCATCCAGGTTTCAGGATGAGTGTCTCTACCTCCCAGCTGGGTCACTGCCAGTACAAGCTGGAGCTCTGCAATCCTGTAGTTCTTGAGCACTTGGGCAATTAGGTCACATGCAGGGGTCATAAGAATACAGGAACATTTGCCCAGAAAGAGTGGACTGAGAGGACAGAAGCTAGAAATATATCAACATTTAGGAACAACTTGGACAAGAAAGAAAAGGGAGAAAGGGGAGACCATGAAGGAGACTGGGGGAGTATAGAGGGAGGAAAAGGACCTGAGAGTCCCAGGAATAGAATGTAAAGGGGGTTGCTCTATATAGATAGATAGCTAGAATAAATGTGTATATACATATGCATTTACAGATATATAATATCTGCATTTACATAGATATATATCTGTGTATGTATATAATATATGCACTTATGTATATTAAACACGTATTTAAGTGTTTTTGGATTGTTTTTCATACATATAATTGATGTTTCAAAGCACTTTGTGCTTTATATGTTTATTAATATTTATATACACATTTATCTTTCTGTTTCTTATTGATCTACTTACCTATCTATCACAAGGTAGAGGAGTACTTGGGATGAAAGAAATCTTTGCAGTAATTCCTGTAGGAAGCTCAGGGACATTAAGTTCTTAATCATTCCATCTCCCCACCCCACAGACAATACAGGACACCAATAATAACACCAGAACAATTACACTTTGGATGAGAGCAGGGAACAGAAAACCTATAAGCTCTAGATGACATTTGAAGGCTAATGAAGGAAGAATTGGGGGAGCTCAAAACTCTTCAGTGAATATACCCAGAAGGAGAGAGCTCTGCGCAGGGGGTGAACAGCTGTGAGCAAGGCTGGAAACGGATCACAAGCTGAAAGAGGAGGTGAGAGCCCACATGCATGATAGGAAGAAGCTGTAAATAGCTAGTGTTGCAGAAGGCAGAATGTTCTTCCCGCTTCTAGGAATAGGGAATCACTTTCAAGCACTCTACCACTTGAGCCACAGCTGCACTTCCAGCTTATTTTTTTAGTGTTTTGGAGATAAGAATATCACACACTTTTCTGCACAGGCTGGCTTTGAACCACTACTCAGCCTTCTAAGTAGTGTAGGTGTAAGTCACTAGCACCTTGCTCACTATGTGTTCTTGACTAGACCTCTTTTAAGCAATAACGTCAGCCCTTAGTATCTGGGTGGAGGATTGATTCTAGTATCCTCCAGAGATACCAAATCCATGCACGTGCAAGTCTCTTACATAAATTCTATATAGTACCTGCATATAACCTATGGATAGCCTCCCAAAACATTTCAAATCATGACCACATTAGTCATAATCCCTAATATAATTGTAAATGCTGTTAAAATAGTTGATATATTATTTAGTGATATTGATAAAGAAAAAGGTCTGTACATGTTTGGTACAATTAAAAAATTGCTTTTTTTGGGGGCAGCACTGGGGTTTTGAAGTTAGGGCCTGGGTTTTTTTTTAATTGTGAAAATACTGTACAGAGGGGTTACAATTACATGGGCAAGATAATGAGTACATTTCTTCTTTTTTTTTTTTTTTGGGTCCTGTTGTGGGGCCTGAACTCTGGGCCTGGGCACTGTCCCTCAGCTCTTCAGCTCAAGGCTAGCGCTCTATCACTAGAGCCACAGTGCCACTTCCAGCCTTTTTTGTTTATGTGGTTCTTTTTTTTTGGGGGGGGTTCCGGTCATGGGGCCTGAACTCTGGGCCTGGGCGCTGTCCCTCAGCTCTTCAGCTCAAGGCTAGTGCTCTACCACTTGAGCCACAGCGCCACTTCCGGCTTTTTTTTTTTGCTTACGTGGTGCTGAGGAATCAAACCCAGGGCCTCATGCATTGCAAGGCAAGCACTCTACCACTCAGCCACCTTCCCAGCCCCAATGAATACATTTCTTATCAAGCATTGTAGCCTCCTCCTTTGTTTCCCCTTCCCAGGGCCTGGGGTTTTTAACTTAAGGCCTCACACTTGCTAAACAGGTACTCTACCACACGAGCCATGTCTCCAGTCCTAAAATGTAATTTTGATGTGTGATTGGTTGGATCAGGGATGTGGAACAGACACATATAGAGAACTGCCTGTAAATGTGAGCCACCTTGGACAGTCTCTAACATTTGCCAGCAATTGATAAATGGCTCCACTATGAGGGCTGTGGGATTGCTTAAGCTTAAGATTCAGTTGGATCAAGAGAAGAACACTGAAGCTAGGTGTGGTGGCACATGTCTACAATCTCAGCACTTAGGAGGCTGAGGCAGGGAAATCTCAAGTTACAGGCTAGCCTGCGCTACATAATGAAACCCTGTTTCAAAAGACAGAGGAGCATGGGGAGGGAAGGAGAGTGAGAGGGAAGGGGAGGAGGAGAAATACACAAATGGCGAGACCAGAAAAGGCCCAAAAATAAAATGACAATGCTGGAGGTGTAGCTCAGTGGTAGAGCACGTGCCTAGCTTGTACACCATCTTGCATTCCATCTCCAATACAACACCTGAAAATCCAATTATGACGACTGTGCTTGAACTAGAGGCTGACAATGTTGTTAAATAGCAAGAGGAAAAACTTCAGAATGCCAGAGTAAACTTTATACTTATTATGACAATAAAAAAATTACCCATAAATGTGCTTTGAAATTCACATCGAATGATTTTTCCATTAGCTCATCTGGGCAGTCAGGGAACTTTTTGCCTGTTACAATGCCAGCATTGTTGATTAGGATGGAAACGTCCCCAACTTCTTTTTTAACCTGTGTGAAGAATAAGAGAGAGACCACCCAAATAATAATTCCTTCTAAGCTCTAGACTGAATTTATGCACTCTAAAAGCCCATTGTTTTGTTTCCTGGGAGTATACAGCTCCCTAGAGATTCAGTTAGATGCTTTTCTTCCTGATCAGATGGTTGCAATGCTAAAATGTTACTTTCCTTTCATTCTTACAGCTGTCCTCGTACAATGCTATTAGTAAATTTTGTTCAGTGTTCTGCATTAGTAGTATATCATTTTAATCAATGTGGAAACATGGAGACATATAATACCTTATAATTATATAGAACATAGAGATGAAGACAGCCCATCTGGAGCTGGGGTGGAGATGGGAACAGAGGGAGGATACCATATATTTTAAACACACAACACAGATTAGAATCTGCCTATCTTGGTTACTCAATGGGCTTGTTTTCTTTCCCTTCACCTCAACCTATTAGGCAAACATCTAAGAGTTCTACTTGTTGCTGTAATACCAGCCAAACGGGTATTAATGCACTTTTATGTAGGAAAGAAATGTTCTGTTGTAACATTGAATCTTTCCCCTCTAGAAAATGATTGTATAATCTTGGCTAGTATGTCACAAGTGGGCATGATCCTTTCCAGGCTTGATGACAGGAGGGGTGCTGTGTTCACTGTAGCTACAATGCTCCCCCAGGAGGCTTGTACATGGTGGCACACCCTCCAGCTGTATGTCTGCATGTGTATGGGACAAGTTATGCTTGTGACACAAGGAAGGTATATTACAGGGATCAGGTAAAAGTTGCCATCTTCTCAGCTGTGGAATGGCAGGCCTGAGTTGGAGCATTATGGTACATATGTGTGTTAGGCATTGCTACTAGCCAATGGGGTCTCAGGAGGAGAACATCACATTTCATACTTCTGTTTTCAGAACAAAAGCAATAGAAATAACAATTACAAGTCTGATTTGCCAAGTGACTATAATATTTCATTAAACCTAACTTGAATAGGAAGTCTTACTAGAAGCAAAATCAGAAACCAGTATTAAGATGTTGTGAGGATATGGCTCAGTCAAGGATGGAAAAGCCAGAGACTACGTTAAAGAGAACTAAATAGGCTAACCCAGTAAAATGTTTATGCTTGACATGGAAATTTAACTAGTTAGGAAAGTATTCCTTAAGGTTATATTTAAGACAGAATGCAACAAGTTCAAGTTCATTTTTTCCCCTGAATTTATTATTATCCTCAGTGTAAGAATGAGGCATGTCTCTAGATGCCAGAGGCTCACTCCTGTAATCCTAACTACTCAGGAGGTTGAGATCTGAGGATTGTCATTCAAAGCCAGCCTGGGCAGGAAAGTCTGTGAAACTCTTACCTTCAATAAAAGTACCTAAAAAGCAGGAAGTGGAGCTGTAGCTTAAGTGGTAGAGACCCAGCTTTGAGCAAAAATGCTCAAGGACAGTGCCAAGGCCCTAAGAGCAAACTCCAGGACTGGCCAAAAAAACCGAAAAGAATAATTCATGTCAGTTAGTTGTGTATGACAATTTTCACAAGGCTCACACATAAGTTGTAAGTATTTGTTAGGTAGGCTCTCACTATAATACTCACACTATGAAATGAACAACATTCTAGAAAGTCCATGGATTGTCATGCATGCCAGCATATAACTCTGAACTGCTGAGACAGTTCAATCGTAGCAGATAGTAGGAAACATCTGCTTGTCTCAGAGATCATGGATACCATGGTTCTGGATCTCTGGAAGTATACTAAGCCAAACTGACTCTTATCTGCTTCATCTAAGGAGCTTAGTCATGAGACAGGATTCTTCTACATGCTGCCTCAAAGACAAATGACCATGACCTAGCTTCAGCCTACTCTTATGGGATTGTACAAAATAACCTCTCACCCAGGGTATGGTGTAGTCACACTGGACTTTTTATGACCCAGACACAATCGCTCCAAGTTAGCAAAGCCTCAGCAGAGACCAAAACAGATGTACTACTCTAAAGACTTCTTCCTTGGCCCTCTCCTGGGGAATATTAATTCTGTGTATGTTCCTGTTATCCAGAATAAGAAGTAGAAAGGCTGGGTTTACAATGAGGAAGAACTTGATTCTCCTGAATTTCGAAGAGCCTATCCTTAATCCTCTCCAAGATACCAGAGCAATCAAAGCTGAGTGATGAGCTGGTCATATGATATGTTTGATTCCCAAGCATCTAGGATAGGAATAAAATCATTGACCCAGGGCAGAGGGAGGTAGTTATCTATAGAGTACTCTGTAGTCTTTTGCCTAGCACCTGGGGAAGGACTTTAGTGCTTGGATGTGTACCAGGTACTGCTGATAATTAGCTGAGATGTTATTTGTTGTTAGTATGCACCAATATGTCAGAGGATGGGTTCTTCACATGTAACTAGATGAGGCTGGGAGGTTAGATGCACTTGGAAGAGGGTCCCAGTGTGCACCTGTAAGATCTGGTCAGATTCAAAACTCCAGGTTATCCTAATTGGAGTAATTGGAGTTGATGCTAAGAAAGATGAAAAACAGAAGGACAAAAACTCATCTGGCTGGGATTTGAAAATCTTCCCAACGGGAGGTGAGCAAGTAGTAAAACCTGATCCTAGTGTTATCTGAAACTGTGGAATAACTTTGTAAAGTTGTTGGGTGGCTTGCAGTGGCTTGTTTGATTCTTCCCTGCATTAAGTGGAGCAATGGCACATAAATACTTAAGGGCAAATAAATACTTAACTCCTTTGAGGAGGATGAGGATGAGGGATGTGACTATGAGCTAAGGACCTTCCCACCATCAGCATACTAGAATTGAGGTTTCCTGAATTTTTATATGTATGTCTCTATAATTGTTAAAGAAACAAATGCATATATGAGTCTTTAGGATGAGCATTCTGATTTTTAATGATTATTTATTAAAATACATATAGTAATGAAGGTATGGGGTAAATATAGACTGGATTTTATATCAGACTAAATATAAGTACAAATCTGGGCTGAACTGCACACTAAATGGGTAACCCTAGGCAGGGTATTCAATATTTCTTTTTGTGTGTGCTAGTACTGGGGTTTGAACTCAGAGCTTGGTGCTCACTTGGCTTACTTGCTGGGCTGGTGGTCTTACCACTCGGGACACACTGCTAGCTCAGTTTTTTTGCTGGGTATTTTGGAGATGGAGTTTTAGCAGATTGTTCTGCTAGGCTGATCTTGAACTGTGATTCTCTGAATTTCAGTCTCCTCAGTAGCTAGGATTATAGGTGTGAGCTACTAGTACTTAGCCTCAAAAGTGGTTTCTTAATCCTCAAAAGGGCTTCCACTTCATTCTCTTTCTATTTACAGGGCAATGGGGGTCAATACCACCAGGACAGTACAGCGATTGGGAGCAAAACTTAGAGGAGTCCACAAAGTCAAAGCAGCTATAGCTTTGCCACTGATTAGGGAGGCTGCACATGTCTGTCAAAAGCCTCTGTGTGCTTCTTTGTGGAAAGGGAACAACGATGTTTGACTGTACAGTGTCATATGATATGATACAATCCATGTAGGGTACTTAGTATATCACTGTGTATACAGTAAAAACTCAAACATTCAATTTCACATTCCCCTCCCATAGTAAGGTACAGGAAACTGGAGACAGAAAGGCAAATGGACAATGACAATGATGTTGGCCGAGTATGTGCATAGGGAACCCACCAAAGTAAGACCAAGTAAGTCTCCAATAAGTCTTACCTGTTCAGCTATTCTGTACACCTCTTCCCTTTGGCTGCAATCACAGGTATAGGTATATACTCTGGTGGCTCCAGCTTCCAGAGCCATCTGGCATGTCTTTTCATTGCCCTCAGTGTTGATATCCCAGAGGACAAGCACAGACCCGAGGCGGGCAAATTGCAAGGCTAAGAGTCTTCCAAGTCCACTTCCAGAGCCTGTTATAAGCACTATTTCACCAGCAACATTCTTCTGGGGCTTTGAGATTAAAGTAAAAACCAGAGCCTCCAGAACACTAAAGAGCGATTTCCCTAAGAAAATAAGCAATTCCTTCATTGATTCCAAGTTGATAGACATGTTCGGGCTGATACCTATGAAGCAAGAGAGAGCTTGTTTACCACATGGGGTTGCACTTCTTAAGTACTGAACATACATAATTGAGAGATGAGATCTAAATACCCGTCACACAGGGCAGGGGACCTCAAGGACGACATCTTGTCCACTACCCTATGCTGCCTCAAGTTCTGTGTGGGTATGCGCACCCACTATATATTGTATGAGGCAGAAGTGTTTGTTAATCAGTAAGTGTAACTACCATGCCCAAATGGATTGATTCATAATTTTGTCCAAGTTAACTTTTCTCTATAGAACTAGGAGACCTATTGGCTGATTCTATATTCAAAATCTTGGCCACACTATGGTGTTTATGACATAACTGCTACCTTTCTAGTTTTTATTTTTAAAATTTTTTTAGAGGTACTGGGATTTGAACTCAGGGCCATGTGTTTATTTTTATTTATTTATTTTCTTTGCTGGTCGTGGGGCCTGGACACTGTCCTTTAGCTCTTCAGCTCAAGGCTAGCAGAGCTGTGTGTTTACTAGGTAGGTGCTCTACCACTTTAGTCAAGCCTCCAGCCCCTCTGGTTTTTACTTCTTATCCACTATGATTCTTCAATTTTGCATGTTATTTAAAATCAGAAATAAAAGAGGAAGATATAAAATCCTGTTTGTAAATAAGTTTTTGAGGAGATGTGTTAAACTGAGTCATCCTTAGCACCATAAGACCTCTTGCCAGGACCTCTTGCCAACTCCCCAACATCATCAGGTGAAGACAGGACAGATTTAGATTCCTGACCTCTCTGTCTTAGACAAGCTGTGAGAATGTTCTATGGTCCTGGCTCAGGAGAAGTACTTTATAGATGCCATTGTGTTTTTCAGATTCACAATACTGCCAGGAAGGCATCCAACAGGTTTTCTTAGAATAAAAAAGGCTCCAGGCTTCTAGCATTCTGCTGTCAGTTACTCACACTTTAGTGAGAGTAAATTCATATGATGCTAAGAAAGAAGGGAAGGCAAGTCTTATTTTCTCAGGATGAGAATACATGTTTAGCAGAAGGCACACTGTTCAGGGGATAAGGGATTTCCTTGTGTGAAGATGTTCAGATGAGGGCTCAGGGATCAGGATATAGAAGGAGAGGAACAAGACAGCAGTAAATCTTTACTTTGTGGGCTGTTATTGACCATCAATGGCCAGATTTATCTATAGGAGGGCTTGGCATATAGCCAGATCCTTAGGCAAGACCAATTCATGTCACCTAGACTTGATTTCTGGATTATTCTACAGGTAAGACTGACAACCAGACAGAATATGCATGTGACCTGTCCGGAGTCTCTGTGCTCATGAGTGTAGCATCAGCTTGGTTCAATCATTACAATTACTGATTCATTATGACTACTGAGCTCAAACCGCAGGTGCTTCTACACTGGGTCCTGAAGCTAAGGGAGTGGCAGCCTCTCATAAGCTATGGCCTGATGCACAAACTGGGCTAGTTGAAGAGGCAGAATGTAAAGGGACAACTCCCATCATTGTAAGCCATAGTGGCACAAAATGTGTAGGGTATGATGTGGGGATGCAGATGCAGGGGGTACAGGGAAAGGGGCTCTGGGAGAACTGATCCAGACTGGGACTTGGGAGGAAGCAACCTTTTAACAGACACGCAAATGATGACTGGCATGAATTGGAGAGATTGGCAGTAGGTTTGCTGGCAAGGGGACAAGATAGTTCTAGACTCAAGGTTGTTTTGATCTGTGTATCCAGGTCTATCTAGGGAATAAGACTGGCTTTGTGTGGCCTGAGATTTCTAGTCAAACCAAGGGTGCTTGGTTCATCATGCTCTAGATGCTACAGGCTCAAACTCTGCCAACTTTGCTCTGATTTATTTCCACAGAGCAATCCAGGAGGGCTGACTGAGCCTCTCAGGCCACCCAAGCCTTTCATTGTAAATACTCAAGGGGACAGGAGGCTTGCCAGGTTATGGGGAAGGCAGTGAAGGGGTACCCTGAGCACCTTCCATACACAGCAGCCTGGGCACTGTCAGCACTTCCTTCTACTAGAAAAATTACATGTGGGTGTGATGGCTCATTTCAGTAATTCTACTTATTCAGGAGCCTCATATAGGAATAGAAGTTCCAGGCCATCCCAGGTAAAAATGTTTTGATATCCCATCTAAACCAACAGTTGGATGGAGTAGCATACACATATCAACAGAAAAGCCTGGACATGGTGGTATCTGCCTGTCATCCCAGCTAGGGAAAAAGGAATAAAAACAAGGAGGTTAATGGTCCAAGCAAAAAGTGAGAACTATCTCAAAAGTCATCAGAACAGAAAGGGCTGGAGGCATAGCCCAAATGTTAGACAGCCTACTTAGCAAGCATAAAGCCTTAAGTTCAAACCAGTGCCAACAACAACAACAAAACCCACACCAGATGACCCAGAGACCACTAATGTCCTCTTTCACTATATGGAGTCCATATAGTGGCCCCACTATATGGGTCCAGGTTAGGACAAGACAGAGGTCTACTCACCCTTGTGGTGATGCTTGGAGTCTCATCTTTGATCTGAGTGGGATTAAAAACTCTGTGTCCTGGCATTCTAGATTTCAGTACTCCAATCTTTCAATGTCATTGCCACCAGACCTAGAACACGTGTGTCTTTGTCTTAGCAGATGGCTTCCTAGTCATTAGGAGCTTGGTAGCATGAAATGGCTCCCATCTGGGGTTGCAGTGTATGTGTGACACTCACACAGGAGGTGATGTCTAAAAATTAAAGTCTGGGATAGAATTCTGTATCTGTCAGTGACTTTCTCTGCAACTGTGGTAAACAATTATTCCATCTCTTAGTACTTGTTCTTTCTGTAAAAAAGGGGGTTTCTTTTCAACACAACTATTCAACACACAAAGAATTGTGGGAGTCAGCAAGTTAATGCAGGCCAAGTATGAGGAGCCTCATATTGTCACCACTAGCACATATAAAACATATGAACAAATAAGGAAAAAGTAAAGGTAGCCATTGCCTTGCTAACAGCCCTCCCCTAGGTACATGGGTTGGACAAGGGGGAGGAGCTGGCTGGACTGCTGGTCTTACCAGGCTGCCCATGCTCTCCCCCACTGCTCCCCAGGTGGCACAACCATAACGTGGATGCTCTGCCAGAACAGTGCCCAGACTGTAGTGATACACCGCAAAATAATGATCCATTACAACTGTGGCGGTTATTTGGGATGGCATGTGAATGCATGATTCTTGGCTATACCATTGAAAGATGGTTTCAGAGAAAGCCAAAGTAAATGCATGTTTCTATATTTATTGTAAAGGCTTTTCTTACTGAATGTAATCAGGCTGAGGAGTTGTTTGGTGGTTTTCATCCTATGGTCTATTGGTCCAAAAGCTGAGCTAACTCAATGCCCAGGTAAGCAAGCACCATCTGATTCCCAGGCCAGCACACAGGACAGCAATTCTGTCCTGGTAAAGTCACCTGGGGAAAGGGAGTAGATGGAGATGGAGGACAGAAAGACTGACAGCTTCTGGGGAAAGAGCTGCATTTCGGGAGGGGCATGCAAGAGATTAGACTGAGTGCAAGCAAGCATCTGGACGGCACAGACGGAAGAGCCGCCGTCCGGGGAGGTTCCAGGCTCGGTTGTGGATGGGGAGAGCCGGCGGGCTAGCGTGCGTAGGGCGGAGACCTTGCCAGAGCTGCCGCGCTGAGATCCCCGGGGAAGCGCTGCAGTCCCGGAGTTGGGCCCCGAGCCGACGCGGCTGCCTCTGCCCCGCGCGCCAGGCGCCGCCAGAATGGGGTCGGGACGCACGGCCGGCGGGCGTCAACCCCCTTCCCCGGGAGCACCGGACCTTGGAAACTCACCTCGGACACACTCCCCTCACCGTCCGCCTCGCAGAAGCCGGCCTGGTGCGCTTCCGGAACCCCAGCGCCTGACTCCCGACGCTCAGCCAGAACCAAGTATTTATCCCTCCGCCCGCCAAAGCCCGGGTCTAGGGGCGGGGCGGTTGCGCAGGGGCGGGGCGGGGCAGGGAAGTGGGCGTGGCCGCCTCGGCGTCCTGGGCGTGGCCACCACCCTGTCCACAGCCCTCGTTTTCTGGCTTTTCAAGGACAGGCAGAGTCTGGAGGTGGGAATTGGGTCGAGGAGGATGGGGGTGCACAGGCATTTTTAAGAGCTGGTTTTAACTGTTATTTTAAAGGTCATGTACAGAGGGGTTACAGTTAAATAGTGGGGTAATGAGTCCATTTCTTTTTGGACAATGTCACCCCATCCCTGGCTCTCTCCCAGTTTCCCTCCCTCCCCCCATCCCACCCACAAGTGTATAGTTTATTTTCAGCATAGAGTCTAGGTTTTCCCCTTACCCTCCCAAAGAAGGGTAAATGAACACACAAGACAAAAAGAAAACAAAAACAACAGCAAAGAAAAAAACCTCGTTTCCGTTTCTTGGAGTTCATTTGGATAAAGATTATTTTGTGTGATCCGACGCACACAGGCACTGGTGCCTTTGTGTTCCATCCTAAGAGTAGCGAATTTCTTTTTTAGTTTGAAATTTCCCGTGCTTAAACTGCACTCGGGATTATTAAATCAGCATTTCTGGGTTGGAAGGGATCCAGATATTGGCATTAGGAAAATTCCCAGCCCCAGTTGCTAAGCCCAGCCACCCATTCCCGGGATCCCTGGCATTGAGGGAAAAAAATCCGAAAAAGCATTCTGGCGTTCATGAGTGGGGAGGGGCTATGTCATACCTTAGTGGCCAGCAGATGGGACACAGTGCAGAAGATCTCCAGTAGGGTCTGACACAAAGTCAACTTCCCAGGCCGGTGTTGGTAAGATGAGTTGCCTGAGTTTCGGAGATGCAAGTAGGTGGGTGGATGTTACAGTGGTTAGTGAGAAGGTTGGCAGGTTGGCAGGAGTTTGTTGTCACAAGATTGTTAAGATAGTAGAGTAAGAGTCAATAGAATAATGTTTCCTGAGCATCACTTGTCTATGAAGCCCCCAAAGAATATGTTATAGGTCAACAAAAGCATATTTTTGCATGAATAAAATTAGCAAGTGACCTAATAAGAGTATGGTATGTTGGAAATGCTTGTAAGAGAGGGTAGAATTTGGTAACACTAGGAGCAGAGATAGCAGGAAGTTGTGGGATATCAAAGGGTAAACAGGATCAGGATGATCTTAGGGTTGGAATTCACCTGAGGCTGGACAGGAGAAGTAGAGAAGCTAGAGGGGAACAGCCTTAATTGACCTTTATAGGAGGGCAGATTTGGGAGTGGGAGGAACTGCACATTTGCTTCTATTTGAATGAGAAGAAACTGAATCTTGTGTTAAAGGAGTTAATTAACAAGTGTGCTGCTTGTTGAAAGGAAAAATCTTTACCAATGAAAGTAGAAAAAGAAATGCGATCCAACCTTCTCCTAGCCAGTTGTGATAGAGAAAACCAGTAAGGAGAAATGTAAAGAAAGAGGAAAGTTAGTAAAGAAATCCTTGGGAAAGCAATTGAGGAAACAAAAAATGGTTTCCTTTGGATAAGAAAGGATTTGAGAAGTAGAACCCCAGAAGGTTTGCGTATATAGCCGCTGGTATGAGTATATCTTAAAAGATAGAGCTTAAGAGTAAAGTTAGTATGTAATTAAGTTGGCTGTGATTTACACTGAAAACTAGCATCTCATTTTTTATGTCCATCTAGGAAAGTAATTGCTTGTGTAAACCAAAGTTCACTTAAGTGTTTGTTTATGTCGAGGTCCTTCAAATGAAGACCTTTCATCTTACAGCCATTTTTCCCTGTTTAGTATGTAAGCTGCCTTGGATATAGACTTAAAAGGACACCAACTCCTACATTCTTTGTTGTAATTACAAAGGCTTAGTGACACCTACAATGTCTTTACCTCAATTAGTATCCTAAAGTGTTATATGCAACTATGAATAAATATATTTTTATTTGATCTTCTTGTTGCTTCAATTGGGAGTAAGGTGCAATCTAGGGATCATGGTTCAAAGCCAGCCCTAGGCAGAAAGATCCCTATGTGACTCTCATCTCTAACTAACCAGCAAAATCCTGGAAGTGGTGCTGTGGCTCAAAATGGTAGAGTGCTAGCCTTGGGCAGAAGTGCTCAGGGACAGTGCCCAGGCCTTGAGTTCAAACTCTGTGACTGGCAAGAGATGCCAACTGGGACAAGCCATCCCAGCGACAAGCACCTAGACCCCCTGGGAACAAAGCTAGTGGAGTAATTTTGTGCGTGCCCTTTCAAAACTAACCAGAGCCAGGAGAGCAAAAGAAAATAGCTAATAAACATGCCTATCTGATGTCTGTACTTGTCTACCTTCTAACTGGACAGGAACTTACATTTTTGCTTCTGTTACCTGCTATTTCTATTTACAATGAGTGTTAGATATAGAGCAGTTTTCCCTGGCACCTTACTGGGTCTCCTATACATATGCTATAGTCCAGATATCTGTAAGTCCAGTCAGCTATAGCCCAATTATAGGAAATGATTAAGGCCTCTCACCCCACCCTTAACTACTTCAATCCAGCCCCAGTTTCGGGCTGCTTATTCTTCACCAGTTCACTATGCTCTCCCCTACTCAGTCTGCTAGAAGCCCTAGACACTCCCTTCCTACCCCTAGTCCAGTTATATGGAAATTCACCCTTCTTGAATCCTATTTTCTTAACTGTTTTCAAAGGGTTCTTTTTAACAGGATAACACTTAGGACACAAGGGAGCAAGTCAAGGCCATCCTATTACTGTAGGCAACTGGAGGCTTCACTAATATCACCCTGCCTTTCCCTGTGCAGACCTGGACCCTGAAGACCCCAGCCCCAGTGACTCCTTGATGCCCCCATGTCAGCAGGAATTAGCCAAAAAGACCACCACTGACCCATTTCCCAATCTCCTGTTCTAACTCAATCTTTTTATCTATCCAAAGACCCAATATGAAGGATTTACCTCTCCCCTCTCAGCCCAATCTTTTTATATATCTAAGGATGAAATATGAAGGATTGGTTCCTGCCTTATTCTTCCAGGTCAAGCAAAACACCAGGTGTGTGCTCACATGCTTGTCCCCAGTCAGATTACTCTGACCTTGGCTTGGCTGAAAGCCTCCTTATCCCACATGGAGCATTCCATTCTGGGCCTGGCTAAGGGCACTATCCTTGGCCCCAAAGAAACCATTGCCTATTTTTTATTTTCTGCTTCCTTGCTAAGACCCACATAAACCAGACCCCAAATATAGCCCTGTGTACAACCTTCATACCCTTGGGAAGGTCTGTGATTCTCACTGGCAATAAACAGTCCTAATCTGTTGAGAATCAAGTCCAGTCTATTCCTTTTCTGTTCTCCATTTTTCCTAACAGCTTTGACTTAATGTAGGGAAACGGAGAATTCTTCATCAACCTGAAAGCTGAGGCAGGATTTTAAAAAAGGACCTTTTTGGATCAAGGCAAGAAATGGACAGTTTGTGATGGAAAATGTTTAATGACCTAATTAACATGAAAAAAGATGATCTTACCCACATTCTCAATTTCTTGGCCTGTAGAGCCCAAGAAACTCATATTAGAAAGATAATTGCCTTTAGGATTGCCAGATATTTTGAGAAAGAAGAATGTCTTCATATGATGGTATAAATTGTGCATTTCTTGAGAACATATATTGATCATGATTTAGAAATCTATATATACTTTTTGGCCCAATTCATGGGTACCATGAGACTTTGTCAAAGCATCAGGTGCCACTGGTCACCCTAAGAAAAGAAAATAGGAGCCCAGGATAAGAAAGAACTTTTCATCCAATCAAACTGTGGTTTGTATTCTGGAAGTAAAAGTCTTTTGTCATGAATTTTTAATAAGTGTGTTCAGATTGAGTCCCTTATATCTGTCTTCATATCATGTTTATCAAGGCTATGGAAAATGCTCTTCATATAACTGGGGTTTTGGAAATGTAGTAGTAAGTTAAATACATGATATGATCCAAGTTTGTAATGACATTTTAATCATAGAAATTAAAAATAATGAAAGTGCTTCTTCTCTATCTTCATATTTTTATTTAATTGAGCAGTGGAAATCTGATTTTTCCTTTATTTCCTTGGGGCTTTATTTGCATTTTCAAAACTTTCCTTCAAGGTATATATCCATTGAAATGATAAAAATATAAAAATGTGAATAAAAGCCCGACAGTGCTAGCAAAAAGAGGAGTGTGTGTAGGGGGGTGGTGTGCGGAGGGAAGGTATGGGTGGTGGCTGACTAGGGTTTGGCAAGCAGGTGGATCTTATTCCTAGCAACCAGAGCCAAAGATCCCATAAGCTAAACACACTCAGAGAAGGTGTTGCAAAAAAAAAAATGAATCATTCTTTTGTACAGAAACCCAAAGAAATTCCCATTCAGTAAAAAAGACAAAGAATGAAAATGGGACATTGAGCTCTCAGATAGAACAAATAATTTTTATTAATGAACTATTTAAAATTTGAAGAAAACAGGGAATTTGTCTTGTAATGTGAGACTAAGCAAGATAATTCAGAAAGTATAAATTCCTGATGTGCCTAAATAAACCATATAAACTTCTGTAGGGCAAGAAACAAAATGCTAACAGGCATTTTTTTTTTGTATATAAAATTGACCATTTGTCACTAGCCATACTATATAGCATCTCTATAGCCAGTTTGAGTAAGACTGGATAAAGAAATGCACAAATAATTCACAACTACATAGAAGAATTGAAAACTTCTGAAAAAATGCAAAATTTCATTGATATTTATAAGTTATATAGAGAAGGAATGTCTGTTTTCTCCTCTATCAAAATCCACATATTAAGAAGTTACATAACCCAGCTGCTGGTGGCTCACACCTGTCATTCCAGCTGTTCAGGAGATTGAGATCAGAGGTTCAAGGTTTGAAGCCAGCCCAGGCAGAAAAAAGCCTGAGAGACTCAATCTCCCTTAACCAGAGAAAAGCTGAGCTTGCAG